CCATCTCCATCCTCACCATCTCCATCCCCATCTCCATCCTCACCATCTCCATCCTCTCCATCTCCATCCTCACCACCCATCCAGCCCCTTTTACAACCAACCTTCCATCCATCCATCATCTCCATCTGACCATCTGTCCATCCATTTGTCCATCCCTCCTCCCACCCACCCTCCACCCATCCTACCCAGGACTTAATCCCATCCCACCTCCAAGCTCCATCCTGGTTCCTCTCTCTGCTCCTCACACCCCTGCCCCAGTGAGAAGAGGGACCACATCACCCTGTCCCCACCCCAGAGCCCCCCATCTCCCTCTAGGCCTTGAGGTCCTACATGGAGAAGGAGATGGCTTCATCGAGGAGTCGCCACACGGTGGTTGACCTGGTCCGGACGCCTGTCGTACGCCGCATCTCCTGTTGCCTCTGCTTTGTGTGGTACGCCCCGTGGTGGAGGACATCAGGGGGTGGTTGTCCATCTGTCCCCCCAAGTTGTTGGTCCATCCACTGCTTCATCCATCCCCAAACACCCACCTTAGCTGGGTCCTTATTGGAAAGGGAAACTGAGTCATGGTCAGCGGGAGGTCTCTTGGCCCACACATGCTCCAGGAAGGGACAAAGATCTCCTGGTTGGATGCCACAGGCCAGGGGATGGTTTGTGACCCCCACATCTCACCCCACACACCTCCCCACCAGTGACCTTTGCCCCACTCCTCACCTCTTCTTGGCTTAGGTTCTCCACCAGCTTCGCCTACTACGGACTGGCCATGGACCTGCAAAACTTTGACTTTAACATCTATGTGATCCAGCTCATCTTCGGGGCCGTGGACATCCCGGCCAAGCTGGTCTCCATCATCACCATCACCTTCGTGGGGCGACGCTTCACCCAATCCCTTGCCCTCATCTTGGCTGGTTTGGCCATCTTGGCCAATATCTTGGTGCCACGAGGTGAGGGCTGGGGGTGGTAGCAGTGGTGTCCTCTTCATCTCCAACCCATAAAGCACCTTCTGGGCCAGAAGAAGCTCAACCCATTAACACAAACTGAGTCATTTCAGCTTTTTCTGGGTGATTTACCTGAAATCCTGGAGTTTGAGGATCTCCTCTCTCCATCACCCACTGTCAACCCAACCCAACTCCAACTAGTGACACCAAAGTGAGTCCCTAGATGTCTTCTCCTCATGCCCACAGACCTGCGGGTGCTCCGGACTGCCCTGGCTGTCTTTGGGAAGGGTTGCTTGGCCGCGTCCTTCAACTGCGTCTTCCTCTACACGGGTGAGCTCTACCCCACCGTTATTCGGTAAGGAGTTGGGTTGGAGGTTGTTGGAAGGTGATGGTGGTGGCTGTGACCACACAGGTTGGTCCCTCAGAACTTCTTGATGTCCCACAGGCAGACAGGTATGGGGTTGGCCAACACCATGGCTCGTCTAGGCAGCATCACAGCTCCCCTGGTGAAGATGGCGGGTGAAGTCTTCCCCACGTTGCCCTTCATCATCTACGGGGCAGCTCCCGTGGTGTCAGGGCTGGTGGCCATCTTCCTGCCAGAGACACGGGACACGGCGCTGCCTGAGACCGTGGAGGAGGTGGAGGGCAGGTGGGATGGGAAGGATTGAAGGACAAGAGGATGGACAGATGGATGGTGGGGAGGGACAGATGGATGGGTGGACACAGGGAGGGATGATGGGAGAGAAGGATTGGTTGGACATGGGGATGGATAGATGGATGGAGAGGTGGATGGACACTTGGGTGGATGGATGGATGGATGGATGGATGGTTGGTTGTGTGTGGAGATGGATGGACAGACGGATGGATGGAGGATGGGTTGTGTGTGGAGATGGATGGACAGACAGATGGATGGGGGGAGGATTGGTTGTGTGTGG